GGTGGTGATAAAGGTGCACTCGCCAATGCCGCGCTAATGGTACTAGCTGGTGCTTTGCCACCTCTGTCGAATCATAAAGGATATTTTTTCAATTATTTATATTTCATTATCATCCTAACTTATTTATGTATATATTTATTTGTATTTTTACTTGTGTTATTTTATATATATATATATATATATAAAATAATTACGATATATACATATATTATTTTTTTATTTTTATTTTTTATTAAACTTTGTATTAAATTTTTCAAGCGTAACATTTAAGACGAATAATATATATTATATAACTTACGGTGGTATAGTAAGAGGTACAAGACCAGCCGGAGCATTTTGCCTAGCGACGAGTTTCGCATGAATATCGCAGTATAATTTATTGTTGATATTGTAATAACCGACATTCTTTAGGGACGTGCCACAAGTTGAGCACTTGAAGCATTCCACGTGAAGGTTCTTTTCCTTGATCCTGACGAAGACACCTCTGAGGAAGAATAAGTAGGTTAATAACGCGATTATTTTGCGTCTCAGTGCAGTAATTGATTTTCTTTAATGTCACAACAATAAACGACGAGATAATGGCGCGTCGGATGTGCCACGAGTTTTGAACTTTATTACTATTCACTCTAGAAAAAGGAGAGAAAGAGATGTAAGAAACTCGATACCTCGACGAAGGAGGCCGGGAATAACTATTAATTAATTATTTATATATGATTTCCGTGAAAATTATATTCGAATGAGAACGATGAAACAAGTAAAGCTACAAAAACGTGCTTAAAGTTGATTTTTGTAGCGGATATGAGTGGATATGAGTGGATATCTCAAAAATATAACACCGTAAAAAATAACTTAATATTCGAAACTAGGTAAATGATAATATGTGAATGTTTTGAAAAGTAATGTTGGATTGTATTGTGTGTGTGATATTGTATTTCTTAGTAATATTAATTTAATAGTAATCAAGTTTATGATTTTTTCTTAAAAAAAAAAAATTAATATATTTAACATAACATCTATAATGTTGCAAAAAAATCAAGTACAACTTTAGATGTCTTTGTCGGTCGTAAAATATATTGTCGGTCTGTAAATTTTTTTCGTAAAAAAGATTGTTTTCCCTCGTCGAGCATAGAAAAAAATTAGAGATAGAAAAGTATCACAAAAAGATTTTGTTCTAAAGATATGACAAAAATAAAAATCCACAAAAATATTCACAACATCGAAAGCAGTTTTTTTTTATACATTATCAGTCATTCAGTGTGCTATAAATGCGCGAAAGGTGCTATTAAGAGAGTAAAGTGCGGAGAATAAAGAGACATTTAGATAGGGCTGCATTCAAGCTGTGAGCGAGTAAGAAATTTTCGTCTCGCTCAGATACGACTTCCAGTAGGTTGTAAGCTATAAGCTCGAATGATCAGAATTCTTCCAGAGATAACAGTGATAACAAAAATGCATAACGATCGAAGTACTTGCTCTTCCTGAACAAGCGATGTTGACGAAAAGTGGCGATAGAGAAAGGCGTGCTTCGAACACATAATCAAGGAGATAAATGTGCACTTCTTTTATCGCTTAAATTAATTTTTACAAATTATGAAATTGTTACATGAATTTGTATCATTTATTTATAATATAATTTCTCTATTGCCGTTTATTATTAGCCTCATATTATTGTTATCCGATATAAAATGTTTATTGTATATTGTTATTCGACACAACTCTACATTTTTATAACTATATATAACTTAAGTACAATAGGAAGGGAAAGAGATGTGCACATATTCTCTTCGAATCGGAATCTTCAAGATGATACTAGCATACGAGCAACAATCGAGCAACTCAGAATGGCGTCGTTTTTGACGATTGTACGAGGCGTATGAATCGCCAACTCTGAGAACGATGAGATTACGAATTACATTTACTATTTTCTATAATTACGAATTACTTATTATTTTCTATAATTATTTTGTATAATATTTCACACTTATTAACATTATTAAAATTTAAAACAGACTTATTAAAATATTATAATATCTCTTATTAAGCTCAATTCAACTCAACTCTTTTTATTAATATTTATTTTTAACTTGTGTTGTGAAATTTTTGTTCCAACTTTTAAAAAATTAACTTTCTATAGCTCATTCAATTGCTATGGTATGCAAACGAAAATACGAAATGTGCAAACGATGAGTAATCGAATGAGCCATAGAAAATTAATTTTTTCAAAGACTGATTGTGATAACTTCATATGAATTTATTTTAATTTAATTTAATTTATTTTAATTGAAATTTAATTTATCAAAATAAATTTATTAACAATTTGTTATTTAAATAATTTTTGCAAATTTATCATTAACAAGAACTTTATAAATAAGTTTTATAATTAAAAAAAAAAGCGTGAGCGACTTTCAATATAAATAATCTTTTGCAATTGATAGAATCTCTCTAAGAATCTGAACCATCACAGTTAATAGTTTCTATAAACTTTCGCATCGTATCGTTCTCGGTATGCGAATGCCAACACCTTAAAAACGTCAAAACGAAACCCGCCGTGGCCGTCTCGTGCACAAGGGTGGCAAGAGTCTCGCTCGTAAATAGTTACACGATCACTCGGTCGCAGTTGCTACAAACGACCCCGCCCGGTGTCGACGAGCCCGACCCGGCAGAAGATTCCTGCTTTTGCGGTTGTGGTTCTCGATTCTTCCCGTACGATTCGTCCATCCATACAAAGTGCCTGCTATCGGCAGGTGCGCTACCACCACCACCCATAGCATGAAACAGAGGCGTAGGTGACCTCGGTGAAGTGGCCCTTCCGCCAACCGCGTGGCTCACCGAGGAGTAAAATTCTGTCCTTGAAGGAACTACGACATGGAAGTAGAGAAAAAGCTCCATAACAACTGGGCAGCAACAGGGAAGTGTCGAATCAAATATGACTGCTCAACTGACTGAAGGCGATCGCGTTCGCCGGTTCATGCGAGTTTCTACACACATTCTCAGATTAAAACCATGATGATTATCAAATAATAATATCAAAAGAGACTTTCACAGTTTTTTATTTCATATATATAATTAATTTATCTAAGAATTAAATTAATATAAATATTAAATAGATATAAATCTCATAAATCGTAAAATTCTAATCTGAGAAACTGAAAATTCGCACGACATTCGATACGCAAATGGAAAACGATTGTTGTCGTAGGATACCATCGTGATTGTTGGCACTATTGTCTCCTCTCGCCTTATCTAGCCTCTGAAAATAAAAACCAAAACGCGTCCCGAGTACGTAAACTTACACGATGAGTCTTTCGCATTCGGCACAAATGTTCTGTCCTGGTGGTAGACTCGTTTGCGGCGTCGATGGTGTCTGTGGCTTCGTTTCCGGCGCCTGAACGGGCCTCAGTCCTGCCAGGGCGGGCGAGGATGGCGTTATCACGCCGCTCACGACATTTGGCTCCGCTATTTCGCAAACAAGTTATCGTATCGGCATGCAACAGGTTGGCTGGAACCGATTCTGGCCCAGCCGAAGAATGCATCGATTTTTTAGATAGATAAATTTAGAAAAATTTATTTAATGATTCAAAATTAACTTATTATTTCAGATAAATAAATTTCAAGTAGAATAATTTTTAAATAGATTTTTGTTTTTTTTTACGTAATTTTGTAAAATATCTTCTATGTACCTACTAAATGTAGATATTGCAAATCAAGAGGTTATAATTGCAATAATATACAGAAACAAATAATAACAAATAATATAAAAAACAAATTATTCGATTTGCAAAAATTTCATTATAAA